GAATAAATTATTGCAATTATTTCAAAAAAGAAAACGTATTTTACTTAATTGAATTTATTCTTACGAGTAATTTTTTTTTTAAGAATTTGTTTTGTCAAAAATAAGGCAAAGAATAAAAGTAAATTATTGCAATTATTTCTATCGTTAATTCTTTTATAATAATAAAATTTCACTTGGAAGCAACTAACTTTGAAATTATTATTTTTTTGAAACGAGAAAATTATTTCCCGAAGCAGCACAATTCATTGATTTTTGTCACACAAAAGTGATAAAAGAATAATAGCTAAAAGAATAATTTTCCATACATATTTTTGTCGAAATCTTGTTACTTATTTACTTACTTTGAGAATTAACTTTCGAGGATGGAAAATGTCTCGATGCCAATTAAAATAACACGCGTAAAGAAAATATACAAGTATCGAATTCGAAGACACGTTCGTTTTTTTTTTTTTTTTTTTTTACAAAAACATACGATTTTTATTTTTCTTCGAGTCAACAACTTGCAAAGTAGATTATAATAACAAGACACCCTGTATACAAATTCATACGCGCTCGAATGTATACATCCAGTTATGCCATTGTAACATCTCTAGCAAGTCACATGTTTCGTGTTACGCTTAATTACACGCGTTTAATTCGCGCTTGAAGGAGCGCCGTTAAGTTTTCCTCTCTGGCTGTGGTAACCCCGGCAGAGGCCGATGCCACCACGTGTTCCAACGTGTTCCATGTGCTGGAATCGCGAATTACAATTTACAATTACGATTTCAGTCTAGAAACTGTTGTGGAAATATATACGGAGAACAGAGGAAGGAACGTTTACGAGCCAGTGGTGCCGCTGGTCCTGGCAGGTGCCCCTCCACTGTTGGCTGATTTATCTTTGACCTTCGCCACTGGAAGGCTGTTGTCGAACGTGAGGAATCGGGAATTGAGGGGCTTAGTCGAACAGGGTCACAGTCGTTTTTGGTTTTTACCGTTAATGCGGTTCTGCTATGGTTTCCACGATTTTCTATGATTTCGTATCCGAACAATCGTATTGGAATTGACGAATAGGGTGTATTCGAAGTTGGCCAAACTTTTGTCGAGAGTATATATATAGGTTATTACATTCTTTTTTTTAATATTGATGTTTCATTTTTAAATGTTATATATTATCTTGAAATTACTTTGATGATTATTTTTTAATTCCAAAGAAAGAAAGAAAAAAAGAATTGGAAAAAGAAAGAAAGTCGCGATCGAAATTAATTTCGCCAAGGTTGAAAAGTAAATGTAAATGAAAAATTAAACGAAAACGAATATATTTCTCTGTACGATCCAATCGTAGCACGCGTTCTTCCGAATACATATTTCACACGAACAACTCGTTATGCGAATATATCATTGAATTTATCTCTATATCCTTTTAACCTGAATTTTTTCTTTTTTTTTAGAGAACTTCGTTAAAAAAGAAGTTCACCTTGAAAGCTCAGATATTACTAACTTTTCAAAGGAATAAAACAAAATCCGGAATTTCCATTGCTGGATGAAAAGAGATCCTGTGTGCTTCAATCTCGTGAATATTTCGATAGATTTGCACGATAATTTTATACGAAGTGGAGCAAACTTATTAGAAATAATTAATAACTTTAGATCATTTCTAAGAAGTGAATTTATCTGTTTATCAGAAGACTATGAAAATTCCTCTTTTCAACAAGTATTCTTTTTCCGATCGAATTTTTAGTTGGAACAAAAAATATATCTTCGAGTGACAAATTTCGAATGCGAAGAAGAATTGTTCGGCAGATTTTAATCCATCCAAAAATGCTCGATAAAAATCAATAAGAAGATATGTTTCTTCAGGTGAAACCGTGTGCGCAACTGGCAATGAAAACACACGTGTGCGCGCGCGCGTTGAGTATACACGATCGAATAATTGAAATATTGTTAGCCGCACAATGGATCTTGCTAGTCGACGATGAATAAATTAGACTGCGGGTTTTATATTCTGGAATTGTGCCTCTTCCAATTAATTTTTTTTTTTTTTACGTTTCACTCGTTGATTTGTGACCAGTAAATGGATTACTTTAGAACTGAAATAGTTTATATAAATATATTGGAGAATCGATGATTCTCCTTTCTTTAAAAAATTAAACGAAGCGAAGTTTAAATAAAATTTGAAACGAGAAAATTATTTCCCGAAGCAGCACAATTCATTTTTTATCACACAAAAGTGATAAAAGAATAGTAATAAATTAGGAGGCTAAAAAAATAAGTTCATAATTTTCCATACAGGCAGCACAAATTTTTCTACATTTTCTTTTTTATTTTTAAAAAATAAAAATCTTCAATTTCCATATCATAGTATATCATTCGAGCACAAAAAGCAATCAAATGGATTGAATGATTTTCGAGCAAATATACAAACATCAAAAACACCATAAATAACAACAACGAGAAAGAGGATTAACCATAACCAACGTGACCAACCGATTCTCTCCATCCCCAAGTATAATCGTTCGAGCTTACGAATTATACACCTTCAACGACCAAATAAGAGCAGAGTCTCTCGAGCAAGAGAAACACGATAGTTAATTAACTCTCTCCCTCTGTCTCTGGAAAACGGTCTCCTCCAGCTTTTCTCCTCTGAAACTCTGCGCCCTGGAGGAGGAGCGAGCCGCTCGATTATCCATTATGCATTATTCGACGCACCACCACCACGGTGCAATATTCTTGGTCGGCCGCGAAAACGAGCCAGGGAGGAGAGGAGGGGGGAGGGGAGGCGGCCACGGTGTGTTGATTTAACCTTGACACGAGTCGCGCCAAAAATCAAGCACGGAGGAGCGTGGATCGTTAAAAGGCGGGGCGGAATGGGGTGAGGGAGGGATTCGAAATGGAATTCGTGCGGGATAAAAATTCTTTGCGGCAGGTGCGCGTCGCGCTGCGCAAACGAGATCGATCGATTAAATTAATTGTCCCCGTTTGTTTCGAGGGTGTTTTGTCTCGAGAGAAGATGGAAGATGAAAGGTAAGGGGGTTGATGATGATGCTCCGTACGATTCGTTTCCACAATGGGGGTTGATCATTGATTATTATTGAAAGTATTAGGCTGGAAAGAAATTTCTTACCGTTTTTGTTATTTTGATTTTAAATCACTCTATTTTATTTTTAATTAAGTTGGTGCTGAGTTGCATTGACTTTGTATATAATTTTAAAGTGCATTTTTTGGTTCGTGAAAATGCGATATTATTCTCAAATTAGTTTTTCTGATTTCTCAGGATGTTTTAGTGGACGTAAGAAGCAAATTCGAACAATTTTATTAATTCCAGGATTCTAGAATTTTATTCAACCGGAATAGCAAAACTTGTTTCTCGTTGGCAAAAGTGTATTGATTGCAATGGTCTTTATTTTGATTTTGTTTGAGCCAAGATATGCACATTTGAATTTAATAGTTAAAAAGATCTTTCTTTTCAACCTAATATTTAGATAGCTTTTATTGAAATGTTTTTATTTAAAAATACATATAAATAAAAGTTGAGGATAATTAGATAGCGTTTTGTGTTAACAAATACAAGTTTTTTTTTATTCAAATCTATTCCAGAAATTTCTTGGATATACTCGACAATAATACATGCAAACACTTTTACCAACTTTTCGATTCGTTATTTCGTTGAAATCCTCGATTCTTGTAATTCCGCTTCACGGTTACATGCAGCGAGTATACTTTTGCTCAGCTCACGACAGAATCTTTTTAATAAGAACACACGAAGATATAAGAAAACTTTCATATTATTCCACGTATTTCAGAAAGAATAACGAAAGACGCTATTCTTCTTCTTACATATATGAATATACTCAAACATAGGTAAGAAGATAATGATAAAAAATTCCACGGTTCCAAACTTGTTTGATCGTTGTATTTCAGAATTGAAATATCTGTAATTATTTCGACGACACTCTCTCCTATGTAGAATAGAGGAACAAAGGAGGAAGGGTGCGTGCGTGCGCTGGTAGAATTTCAAGAGTTGCGCGCATCGGTAACCTGACCCGAGCCGAGATCCGTACAACCTGTGCGTTCGTGTCAAGGCGAGAGGGGCCAACACTCCCGGCTGACCCACATCGGCCGATCACCAACTCCCACCCCTTGTGGGGTGCTTCCACCCCACCTGGACTCCTCTTCCCTTTCTTTTCGCCCCTCGAACAGAAAGACGATTACTTAAGGCTTAATTGAAATCGACGAGACGAGGATGTCGTTGGACGAAATAAGGAATTTCGATGGTGCTAGGCTTGGATTGAGAGCTCGAAGATGAAGAGTTGTATCGAGTTTCTGTCTTCCAATTGTTCCTTATATATCCTTATTAAGTACTTGGCTGACGGAAGGTATTTTTATTAATCGTTCAAGAGATTCATCGCTCGAATAAATCTGTCTAATCTGTTAATTCCGTAACATCACAGTTGCTCATCACGTTCTGCAAACATTATCTTCGACGGCTGGCTACGAAAGGCTTCCTCCTCTGGTTATATTAACCTTCGTTTTTTAAGCGAACTTAAACATAAAATGATAAAGATAAGTTTCGTTAAAATAATAATAATTCCAACGATTATTCGATAAATTTCAAACGGAATAAACAATTCGAATAGAAGTTGAAATACTATATTTTTTAATTTAATTAAGAAAGCGATGAATTGTAGGACTATTATTATTTCGATTTTTGTTTGTACTTCTTTCGATTGCTGGAAGGACAATGAGAAACGAAAATTGAGAAATGGGATTCGCGTGCGGAACGATATTCCGTAGGTTTTCCGTGGGATATGCAGAGGGCCGTGCGTCGACAGACCGACATCCGTGGACACGGGAGTGTTGGCACCGTTTCCACAGGTGTATTAACTGGGTCAGCGTTCCAGTTGTTGGGGGTGGTCGTGGCCGGGGTGGCG